GACTAAAAAATGGTTTTAGTCGCCAAAAGTCGCCTAATTTTTTTTTTAGTAAATAATTTATTTTTGGACAAAAATTATATTGAATTAAAAAAATTATATTTATAAATATTATTTTGTATTAATTGCGGTTAATATAGTATATAAATAATATATATTGCATATATGATCATGTGATGATGTACTGGCATAGTGGAGGGAGTGTTGTGCAAAGGGTTTGGCGTGTGCAAAGGGATGTCTCAAGTTCGAAACCTGTTGGGAGCAGCGGAGGCAAAAAAAATTTTTTTTTCTGAAAATACTTTCAGCGACTAAAGTGAATGGTCGCCAAAGGTATAAATAATAAAATAAAAATGAACTATTGGCGACTAACAGTTTAGTCGCTGAAGACATATAAATTGGCGACTAACAGTGTTTTAGTCGCCAAAGGCATTCGCGACCGTTTATTGGCGACAACACGGGCGACTAAACTTTTTAGTCGGGAAAAGTGAAATTTTGACATTTGGCGACTAAAATAGGACCTTTGGCGACTAAAAATTTAGTCGCCAGAGGTGTTTTTTCTTGTAGTGTTATCAAATTGACAACTTTGCCATATAAATTGAGTAATGGCATCTTCAATTGTCCTAATTTGGAACAAGATTCAAAATTCATGGTCAAATGTGTCACAATTGAAAAGTCAGGAATCAAAATGACACAAGCCCCAAACTATAGGACCCCGTTTGTTTTGGGAGATAGAATGGAGGAGATTGATAGTGAGGGGATTAATAGTGAGGGGCTTGTTAGTGAGGGGATTAATAGTGAGGGAATTGATAGTGAGGGGATTAATAGTGAGGGAATTGATAGTGAGGGGATTAATAGTGAGGGAATTGATAGTGAGGGGATTAATAGTGAGGGAATTGATAGTGAGGGGATTAATAGTGAGGGAATTGATAGTGAGGGGATTAATAGTGAGGGAATTGATAGTGAGGGGATTAATAGTGAGGGAATTGATAGTGAGGGGATTAATAGTGAGGGAATTGATAGTGAGGGGATTAATAGTGAGGGAATTGATAGTGAGGGGATTAATAGTGAGGAATTATTAAATTATTTTTATATAAAATAATAAAACAAA